CTTCCACACACATAGACATCATCCCTAAGAAAGTTTATCAGGATAAACTTTCAATGTTTCCACAGCGTGTTTATAAATATTGAGATCACTGCTCTGCAGTGGTTTTCCATTTCTGTTATTAATTTCCCCTACGTTCTTTCTGCTTGACATTTTCATTGTGCCACAGTACGTTAGTCTGCTTTTACCACGTTGTACCACAGTGAAGTTTTCCAATGCTGAATTTACACACCATGATGTAAAAGGGCAAGGCAAAGTATTATTTATCATTCCTATTTAAAGTGTTATCAGCTCTGTTCAGAAGAATAGGAACTAGGATTAATCATTATAGATTTGTATCTGTTTGTTAATGCGATGGAGAAAAACTGATGGAAAACTAACAGTGAAGAAACAAAGTGAAGACTGGAAACTTTATTTTACATTATCAAATTTCACCACCGAAACTCACTGATACAGGTAGCTTAATACGGAAATGCTCAACATGATTAGTTAAAACGTTTTGATACTGGTACGCTCCAAGATCACCGATAATGACCGGCTATTAGGGGAGGTCAGTCCACAAGAACCTTCGGCTACAGCGCACACATACAAGGAAAGCACCTCTCGGGTCAAAAGTAGTGCAGTTATAGGGGAGGCAAATTTGCTCAAAAACCGCTGATCTTTATGCGGATTACTGGTAAGGGGCATGCAGCCTTTCCACAGACGCAGGATCTCGCTTGCATCCGATTAAAAAATACGACATCCCGGTAAACAAGCCTGCGTATCTTTTAAGACTGAAACAAAAATTAATAATAAATATATAAAGATAGGGCAGTGAACATCGATATACTGTACAGTCAAGTCGCGCGATTTACAGCACCGCGTTCTTCTCCTGGAACAAACAACTACTGTATATGCGCAACCTATAGATAATACTCGGTATACCCAATAAGCGAGTTGAGTGATAATCATGTAGTGATATTCGATGATATACAAGACTGTTTCTGGAGTTGGCATTCTAATAGTAATTCAATTAAACGGTAAGTGCCTCGGTGTCGATAGAATACGAAATTGTGATTAATATTAGCAGGGATGAAGATGGTTTATCTACGTACCGAAATGACGCTATCTAGTTGTACATGCAAAATAAAAGAAATGCATGTCTTGTGTCTTAAAAAAGGCGAGCTGCCGTATTTGTGTTATGTGTTAAGGTTTTACCTCCTAGAGAGTTTAAATGACAGCATAGCCAGGTGTTCTCGAAACGCAATCTTACCTGCACACTACATTGCCTCTCTAACAGCAAACTTTAAAGTCCAATAAAAGGATTTAGCAACTTAAAGATATGGAAGTTGCAAAGCAACTGTTTACTAATACCTTCCTCGCTTCTTCTTTCTTCGGTTTGTATCCTCGAAAATAAAAGTGAAATTCTCTCAAGATCTTGCGAAGTCTTCAGGCATAATTAACTCCTTTCGCGAAACACTTCTCCTCGAAGAGTGCGAGTTTCTGTTAATTCTTCCTCTGCTCAGCTGCCTATGCAGGGACTCACGGGTTTGAAAGCTTTCATTGGTTTACCATTGATCTCTCCCCTCCTTCGGTTTTTAAATCGCTCCTGGGCGGTGTGCGCTCTCCATCTTTCTCCTGCCGTTGCCAGTAATTCTGACAAATTCTCGGTGTATCTTTTTTCCCCGCACGCCCCACCTCTGTACCTACCTCTCAGAGGCACTGGGAGTTAACAGAAATAAAATAACATCCCACGTCGTTAATGCAAATGCTCTGAGTGTTTAAAAATCTATTGAGCCCTGTTTAATCGAAAGCAAGACATTTGTTCCTGACCCAAATCGTTTAACCCTTTTTAGTTTTCTTAATACGGTCTATGGGTCTGTAGTGATGTGCAATATATTCTCCTTTATCCCGAGATATTACAAGAGGGGCAGGATCAATAATAATTAGCATTATCCACCACAGTACAGTACGTTACATTTAAACTGGCTTTATAATGAGAGGGAGGGAAAAAACTTTTCTTATAATTACAGTCTTGGGTGATTTCCGGAATTCTGAAAGGAAATAAATATTTAACAACTCAGATCACACTGGAGACTGCATTGCTGACCTTAGAAGACGGGAGATCCCGCTTCTCTTTGATTTATGCAGTTAGCATTGCTGTTAGATACCAAAAGCACTTCAAAGACCTCGACGCAGGACGCTCAAGGATCCAAAGCTTCTGATGGGAGATTAAAAAGACTTCAATTAGTGGAGAAGCCATGAATGTCCACAAGGAAGACCTCGGGCTGAAGAATAGGAATATTATGTGCATCAGGATAAAAATAAAACCGCTTAAGGTCACATGGGACGTTCTACTTAATAATCGAAAAAAAAAACTGTACAAATTACAGTGCAGAAGTCACATCCTACTACAGACAACACAAAACCCCCAAAATACTGAACTATAAATTGCATACAATGAAAAAGGTACAGCAATCACTTAATATCCATATGAACATTACTTAAAACTTTGTTGCCTATTTTAAATTGAAAGAAGCACTAGAACCTTAAGAATTTTCTGATCGGCCTTGACCTGAAATTCCTTCATTGGAAATTGCGCTAAAAACATTTTATTCTCAGTTTAATCTCTTACTGCATTCTAAAAGAGTCAGCAGCTATTGTACACCTGCAGTCTCCATACTTATTGGGTGGACATCAAAGGCAGAACTGCACTCCTACTCCTTTCTAAATCGCGCCAGCTGAATTCTTTCACCATTTGTTCCTCTTAGTCTTCACTAAAATCACAATAATGTGATGTTGCCACCCCCTGTTAGAGCAGATCCGCTTACTTCATCAGCTTGGCCACATGTGGGTCACGTTTAAGTCTCTGTGATTCATGGCTCACGGTCGTTTTAAGAACATTCATCCAACATGAAGGTGAAACCGATGAATGCAGCAAGCCCATGCTAAACCCTTCAATGAAATAATTTATATTTCTGTACCAGTGCTAATATCAAGACACTTAATAATGCATTTAATAATGAGAAAACACAAAGTAAACGTAGTCAGATTTCTATTAAAAAAATCACAAGGGCAAGTGTTAGGGAATTAGATTCTCTAGCAAGGTGTTTTTCTACTCTACTCTGTGCCAAAGACCTTACCAAACGTCTGGAAAATATGATCAATTAATTAATTAATTGCTTAAAGATCACGCAAAAACAACAAGTACTACCGCTTTTAAGAAACTGATTTATAATTCCACCCTTTACTAACCCACATATTTTAATTAAGTAGTTAAATGTCCTTTTAAAGCAACACTTTAAGAGGTTACAGTCTTCCTAATGTTAAAGAGTTGCAAAATAATTGCTTCTTTCTGACACAACAAAGATTAGCACAGTTCTATAATTTTACCAAAGCACAATGTGTTCTTTGCCACCTGCTTCACACTAGTAACAAACAAAACAGAATTATCAGCAGCAAATACAACCATGCAGATGATAATCCTCCTTATTGTAGAGGATTAGAGGAAGTACACATACTCACTTGTGATACACCAAAAACTCACAGCCATCTTTCTACATTACAACATAGCAGAGAGAAGCATCCAGCTACACAAATATGCATAAATATCTTCTGCTCTGTACCAGGAATTTTTTTTTTTACCAGAAAAATCCCATATTCTGCCAAGGGTTTAAATATGTCTAGAGTTTTGTTTTTCATTTTGAATTACTGTACACTGACAGACTATGAAGATAATCTGTATAGTCATATACATGTGAACTAAGCGGAACATTAATTAATAAGGGCTGTCACTGAACTGTGAGAACCTAAACAATGCTAGGCAATCTGTCTTTCATTTTCTAAAATATACAAAATCATATACTCAGTATGCGTTTCCTAATTTGCAGTTCTACAGTGCAAAAAAAAACACTGGCCCACACCTACTCATGTACCTTTTCTAGAACAGAACATCTGTTCAGAAACCAGGGACAAGTCATTAGATGAGAACATGTTCTTTGGCAAACAGCATGTGTTACCTGTAGGAAGGAATCAATGGAAATGAATGGTGAATCTTTCGATCACACTGTAGACTAATTACATTACTGCCCTCTTGTGGAATCCTGTGGAATGAAGCCATTAGCTTCATCCCGGGAAATAGCTTTCAGTATCAGCTGGTAAGGTGAAGGAGTCGTCACAGAATCTTAGAAGCCTTCTAGGAATTTCACCTTTTGCTTTCATTAGGTTTAATTGATTGATTCCCCACACCTCTAATTTTTCCACTGCTTTCCACAGCACTCCTCTAATATTTCCACAGTTTTAACAAAGGCTTTTGAAAGCACCAAATGAAAAAGGAGATGAATTATTAATGGTAGACAGTCATGCATCCTTGGAAAAAAACCAGGCCATTATCGCTGGAACATTAACTACATGCAAGCAACGCAGCACATCTGAATGCAATACTGAATACTGACTACCAGATTAAGGGCCACCTGTCATACCATGTAATTATACAGTACAGTGTTCTGTTAAGCTTTGTTGACTAAGTCATATCTACATGGGTTATCTGTGAGGCATGTTCCTGTTCTAGGGCATCCTTGTTAATAAGATGGCTTTGATACTAGGATTCCACATCAAAAAGAACAGAACAGAAACATAAAGAACCATTGGTATGGTAAATTATATCTGTGGACCAAATACACAACACATTTACAGAGGTACCACCCTCAGGGGAAAAGAGTGTGGATTACTGCAGCTTTAACATGCTGTTACTTTGGTACTAAAATATTAACCAAGACAGACTTGAGCAGACTTCAGCAGTGCCAAGCTGAATCTAGGATCAACCACAGAGTCAGAGATTCAATCGTGACACAGAGCATTTCAAAATAAAGCAACCATGCCAGGTATGTCCAATAAAAAAAAAAAAAAATCCTATATGAATACAGTATTCCTAGAAGAAAACTACAGTTTTGAAAAGGATCTGTCAAAACTATAGCAATATTAAAGGAAATTTGCTTTAGAATTTCACTCAAATGGCACTGAAATGAGACTGCAAAACATCTGTTTATTCCCTATACGTTAAAGTTGAACATTCTAAAAGCTTTATTGCTAAATCACTCAGAATCTGAGTGATTAAGCCAAATCAATAGGTAAATGATAATAGTGACTGAGCATTGAAGATGTATAAAGCTAAGCAACGGACATTTTGTGTCCTTTCTGCAACCACAAACATTGGAATTCTGGTCAACAACAGTAGTAATATTGCCTTTAACAAAATGCAAAATATTAAAATGACCTAATACTGGATATTCAGTATAAGGTCAATTTAATAAACACTGCTCAAGGGAGAATAAATCATCAGAAATGCCCCTAGATATATTATTCTTGAAGAAGTGTTGTGTTACATAGGAATCTTTAAAAGGAAAATTGACAAAAAAGCATCATTGAGAATTTTTCCTGGCCAAATACTCTTGATATACCTGATTAGTGCTTTTTGCAAACTCCACTCAAGTGGAAATCAATGAAGTCATTTGATACAATACAGCATTGAGTAAGCACGGTTGTTGTGCAATAACCCTGTTAACCATCAAAAGCCCCAGGTCTGGATAGTCTAGGATGTAGTCCATTACCTAGTTTTATGCACAGAAAACCAAAACACTGACCAATATATTGAATAAATATGCGTGTACAAAAATCAGATGTCATACCATAGTAGCTGCTCACAAGCTGCTATCATTTTTATTCGCTTAAATTTCTGCAGGCAATTGGGAATTCACAACTGCTATACAATGACCCTAATGCAATTTATTATCTTCGCCTCACAGACTAGCTCTGCCATCAGCACTTCCAGCACACTCTTGTTACTGTCTATGCTACATAATAGTAGAAAAACACTCCACTGCACTTCTTTAGATAAGACCCGTTGTGTGTATTATGTCACTCCACAAATCTCAGCTAGACTTACAAATTTGCATTTCAGAAAAGCAGTAAATGTGCACCTTCTGCATTTTAATCAGGCTTCTATAAAGAGACTGTAATTCTAAAGATTAGACACCACCAAGCAGTTGTCAGGAGTTTTTACAGCTGGCAATGCATGGATGTTGGCCAAATTCAAGTAAGACTTAGTAATTAGCGGTCGATCTTGCAAAGGTATCCAACAAGAAAGGCTTGAACTTTCACTGTCTTTAGATGATGGTGACGAATTTTCTTACTAACACTTTTGGAGTTGTAAAGCAAAAGGTTGAAAACTTTGTCAGTGGTGCTGGTATGTTTAATTCTTCCAGATGTATGTCAATCATGCTGCAGCAAGAGGAAGTGTGGCGATCTGTGTCTGTGCATGGCGGCAGGGCGTTGAGACTCTAGCGCGCTGCCTGTTCGAGGTTCTTCTCGTAGTTCTCTTCGCAGATCTGAACGCAACGGGTGAAGTAGCTGAGATCGGAAATGGCCCTGAGAAGGTCGGTCTGAACCAGGCTGATATCATAGAGCTCAGAGGTTGAGGCTGTGCGAGTCTGCAAGCCTGCGGGCTCCAAAAAAACCTGCAAAACAAACCAGAGTTAGCCCTTTCCAGGCTCTGTTCTTCAAGGAGTTATGCTACATAAAGGGGAGCTAGGAGTTCGTGTGGGAATATACGGGTAATGAGATGCCTGGAGCACTACATTAAAGGGCTGGCCTGACAGGTGAGGTGTAGTACCACACTTTCCCCACTAGTACTGCTCTCATTGTTTTCATACGGTGCTGCATAGCCAGTGTGGAATTACCCTGTCTGTCCCACCCTGCCAAACAGTGGCGCCACCTGAATCACATCTGTAGCAATTCATTCCTTCAGCCTTTGTCTGCCACCCAGGCACCATCCCATCCAAGGCACTGACAAAGTCAACCCTATGGACCTCCAGAATCAGGGCAAATATGAGCCAGAGGCCACAGGATAGAAACAGCAGGGACGTGCATTGAAAATTGAGAAGATGAGGCCCATCTGTATGTTAAAAGTGTACTGGGCTGTCAAAGCTGATACGCTGGCTACCTTCTAGAGACAGCTGGATGAGATCCTCGGATCACTTAGCGACTAATAATCAGACAAGATTGATGGGTGCAATAACCTCCTCCCTGTTTGCAAAGCATTCTAATGTTCTGACGTACTGGACAAAACGCAAAGTATTTTTGTGTATCACCATAGCACCAAAGTAATTACAACCCCTCTTTAGTTCACCACACACACATCACACAACAAAGCTAAAGTTCCAAGGTAGCTTCAAAATGTCACTTCCTAATAGTTATAAATAAATCTCATAAATCTCTTTCTTTTTGCTGACATTGGGTCGAGAAAACATCTGCGTCCTCATAAAAACAAATGAGTCACTTTGATATAGAACACTTAATAATGTGGGACATTACAAAGAACTCCAAAGTTTTTTTTCTTAAGACCCAAAGAAATGCGTACACACACACACACACTCCAGGGCTCAAAGCGCACCTTTGGATGGACAATGGTGTCGCTGTCGTTCAGGCGAATGTTGTCATCTATGAAGATGTGCTGCACTTGGGGATCAAAGGGATCAATCCACAGTGGTTTCCCCCCATGTATGGAGTACGTGTTGCGAGCCCACCTGCAAAGAGACGTCTGGTAATAAACACAGGAATATCAAAGGAAAAAGCAAGCAATTATCCAGTCCTTCCATCTCTCAATTATACGAAACAAACTGCGATTGAACTATACATAAGTGCGGAAAACATTTCTTTATGAGCTTGTGCTGTGTCAAAAAAAAAAATTAAGCCGATTGCTATATGTCGAGAACCATGGGAAAGGCAATTAAAATAATGGCCCAGTGAGAATTTAAAGACAGTACTTATTTTTCAGATTTGTTCCATGCTCCAGGAACTCTAATAGCTTCCTCTACCCGCTAGCCAGAAAGACAGTTAATAGCCTGATAGCTCTCGACTGCATTAAATCGTGATACAGAAAGACTGAACTGAACGAATCCCCTGTAGGTCTCCAGCTGCAAGTTGGTGCCGGCCCTCCTGCGACCGTTCATCTGTCATTCTTAATCACCATGATCTGCATCATTTTTTGCCGGATCCAGATGGTCTGATTTCATGAACTGAGAGGTCACTCCGCGGGAAAGCGGCTCCCTCACCAGTCGAAGTGGTCCTGGAACCCGCCCAGGCCCTGGAGTGAGCTGAAGTAGTGGTGCAGGCTCCTCTCGTCGTCCCGCGCCGAAACCCGCTCCACGCCCCGGCTCAGAACCACATCCTTCTTACTGCAGCGGATCCGCCCGGGGGTCTCGTTCAGGGGCAGCTGCAAAACCAGCGGAGAGCTTTGGAAGGAGGATGCCGGAGGACGTACCTTGTCAAGGGAAATATCTGAAGGGATGCTGACACAGAAGGAGTCAGTGGTTCCCAGCTCAGGCCATGGCTAGCCCATTCACTGGGCCTGTGAGGTCCGGCATCCTGCAGAAGCATCCTTGTCTATTTGTTTATCTTTATATCACTCCCGAGTCGGTTCAGGGTACTAGACAGGGCTAATGCATGCCTCTCTTAAGCACAAAATCGTGATTCGATAAGAAACTTATTACCTTATAGATCCTAAAAAGCATGAGATCAATAAGAGTGATCGTCAAGAACAAGGAATCTGTACAGTTACGGGAAAGATAATGAGTAAAATCTAAATGTAAGACAGTATCCTGTCCTGAGGTCCTACATACAACACACAAGTGGCCAAAAACCAAAAAGGAATTTCTGTTAGAAAGAAGAGTGAAAGATAGAAATTGTTCAAATAAACATGGTAAGGTCAAATGCCTTACAAGGCATTACTGCATTTTATTATAGCAATTTTATTCAGTCCCAGTATAATCAAGTGTCCTTTCTGAACTTAGGTACCCATATATTTAAAGATTTTTCCTTCAGCTCTTGCTCTGGGGAAATCAGAAAGTTTCTAGTTTTCTGTCCACCTGAGCCTTTAATTAATGAACTAAACTCACTATTTGCTTAATTGGACAAGTTGAACAACTTCCCCTTGTGTATAAGTATGTTGTGATATACAGTAAACAGACAAATAAAACGTGCTGGACAGTGGAATTTAATGACCAGAATTGAGCATCCCTGCCATTGATCATATTTTAATCATTGCAATCTAAGCTGCCCACACCCCATATTTCAAATGTGCTTGATGAGCTCCTCTAAAAGGAAGCCTTGCATTCCAGACATGGTTTGGTTTATCTGCAGTCCATCTGAGATTAAATACAAGTGTCATGCATTAGAAAAGAACACTCATTTTCAATGTCTTTGTTTAGATACACAACAGGGCCCACACACTGGTATCTTTGAAATATAATCCTTAAGAGTAAACACACATGTTGATAAAGCCTTCAAAAGAGAAATGTCAGTAGAGCACTTTTGTCCCTATTTTCCATTGATCGTCCATGAAAAGTCCTTCAGAGGAGGCTGTCTGAAAAGGTCATTTTTGTCATAATCCTACTTGATTCTGTTGTGGCTTCACAGTTCCTCCTGAAAAATCAATGTCTTTTGCTCCAGTAAGTTAATCTGTTTGTGCTGTTTGACCTTGCAGGAATACTGTATGCCCCCTCCTTGAGCACTCCGAGGCTGACTGGAGTCACACCATAACTGCCAGCAGCAAGTGCTCTCCTTGCCAAGATCAACATACCTCCAAGCTGACACAAACACCAGCTGCTAAATGCCTGATACAGAATGTCTTCAGTCAGGTGTAAGACTCTTAAGAGCACTGAAAAGGGACTTGTCAACTAGACCGCTGTCGTTTTCGATACTGAGAAACATGACATTCCTCTTGCTTGACTGGAGCATTTATTTGGCATTTCAGGTCCTGCCCTCAGTTGGATTAGCTCTTACCGTCTCAAAAACTGTCTCCCTACCTTTTCCAAACAGAACACTAGCCTAAAGCACGTAGATAGCTTTTAAAACTAAAATTAAATTAATTTTTAATAATACTGGTCACAAAGGGACAATTATGTTGACAGACACCTGCCTTCACAGCATGTCGCAGTTCAGTTAATGAAGTGCTTTGTTAGTATTACATTAGAAGCCATTTCAAAGTCGTTCTTTGAAGTATTACGTTAGAGAGCTGTGCATTGAAGTCTAAAACAGACAAATAAAATGGAAAAAAAAATGCAAGGTATCTACTATCTACACACACGTTGTTAAAGCACTGCTTGTTTGTCAGCAACAAATAATCCATCCGCACAGTGTTATTATATAGAAAAGAGTCTGTGTCTGAACAGCTTCAACAGGGGTGTAATCCATCAAATAGAACAATTCAGTGTTCCAGGAGACCAGTTATAAACACCGTTTTCACTCCCTGTAGGTTCCCAATATAAATAAGTAACTCAGAGCAACAAGATAGAAAAACATTCCTATTAGAAAAAAAGAAAAAATAGAATTAAAATACCTAAAGACATCAGAGACAGGCCACCAGATCAGTCATGCTAAATTCTTTTTAAGTACTTTCTGAGTAAGATGCCTTTGATAATCTTCCTTGAGAGCAGTCCAGACAAAACAGAAATTGCACCATTTAATAGCTTAATGTGATTATGGATTTAGCTGTCAAACAAAATGGACTTTTTTAACGGGTATAAAAAGTTTGAGAACCCTTTGGGAATCATCTGTATTCCTGCATTTACTGCTCCTGAAATGTGATCTGATCTTCATCTAAGTCATAACAATAGATAATAGCAAGCTGTTGATGAAAGACATCCCAAAAGTAACAGTGAATTGAAACAGTTCTGTAAAGAGCAATGGGCCAGACTATTTCCAAACTGATGTGCAGGACTGATCAGCGGCTACAGGAAACATTTGGTTGACGTTATTAAATAACTAAAGGTTCACATACTTTTTCCAGGAGAGACAGTGAATGTTTAAACAACGTTAACAGTTGTTTGTGTGTAACAGGACAATTGTTTGTGTGTAATTTGTTAAATCAGATTGTGGTCATCTATTGTTATGGCTATTGTTATTGTCAGGAGAAATGAATGCAGAAATAATAATAATTATAATTGCTTACACTTACACTTATTGCTTACACTGCAACAGCAGCCATAGTGCGCTAGTCCGCTCACCATACTGTACATCAGCTATCAGTGGGGAGGAGAACAGAGTAATGAAGCTAATTCAAAGATGGGGATTATTAGGAGGCCATGATTGGTAAGTATCAGTATCAGGTAAGTATTGGGCCTACAGTATCAGCTTGTAAGGTGAAGAAGTCACCACAGAATCTTAGAGGCCTGCTAGGAATTTCACTTTTTCTTTCATTAGGTTTAATTGATTGATTCCCCACACCTCTAATTTTTCCACAGTTTTCCACAGTGCACCTCTAATATTTCCACAGTTCTAAAGAAGGCTTTTGAAAGGGCCAATGTGAAATTTGGCCAGGACGCCGGGGTTACACCCCTACTTTTTCGAGAAACGCCCTGGGGTTTTTAACGAGAGTCAGGACCTCGCTTTTACATCTCAACTGAAGGACGGCGCCTTTTTACAGTATAGTGTCCCCGTCACTATACTGGGGCATTATGGCCCACACAGACTGCAGGGTGAGCGCCCCCTGCTGGCCCCACTAACACCTCTTCCAGCAGCAGCCTTAGCTTTCCCAGGGGGTCTCCCATACGGACGATTCCAAAGGGTTCGCAAAAAACGTTATCTCACAACTGGACCTGGAACTGACCGAAAGCAGGGGAAGGTCAGGGAAGAGCGGATGGGCGCCCCCTGTCAGAGCTTTGCGCACGGCACGCAGGACGCGGGGCAGGTCGGTCCCGAAGGTGCGGAACACGATGGCGAAGTCCCTCCCCAGGGATGCCAGGTCCTGCAGCAGCTGGAAGAAGGAGGGCATGATCCAGTGGTACAACCGGCCGTCCTCGCCCCGCACAGACAGCTCCCTGTCCTCCTCCCCAGTCCACTGCAGCAGGGACAGGTGCTCCTCCAGCACACCCCGAAAACGCCGGCCCTGGCCCGTGCCCGTGAAGTCAGGCACCCGACCGAACTGGGAGTAGTAGCTCACAGCGCCCTCACATGGAGGAAGGAGGGAGGGCGCCTCACTCACCCACTCCCATTTGCCTACAAAAAAACCCAAGAAAGATCAACACCAGATGCATGGGCCTGACCTAGGCAGCGGCTTAGTTCAGTAGCTCATTCACTCAAGGCCCATCTTCACAAGGAATTATTTAAAAGCAGGCAGATTCAAACGAAAGTGAAGGGGGGAAATGAGAGTCTGGTGTAAATACTGTTCCACCAGTTCCATTCCTACTGTCACCCTCTGCGAATTAAAGATGCTACCCCCCTCTCTTCTCTCACACCCAGGGGCAAGCAATTTAAAATAAGTCTAAAAGCCTAAAACGAGGACCCATCTAACCAACAGAACATCTCTGAACAGCCAGGAGACTTTGAAACTCCTCTGTGTTTTCTGGTAATTAGACAGGCAGTGCCATCCAATCTGGATCTCTGATCACAAAAAACTGCCCAGTCTCCTCACTGATAGATTTTATGGTCCACGGCATTATTCAATCTTTAGCAGGATAGTATCGCTGAAATGAAATCGATGTGTGCTTCCTCATCAAGAATATAGTCTCGACTTCAACAGTTGGAGGTTAAAAAAAGATATTGAGCTGACACTACGCAGGACTACACTAGCACAGCACGACTGACTGATTCCTGCTATGTGTCCCAGGGAAGATCTTCCTGGTGTAATGGTTCCTTCCTGGTTTACAGATGAGGAGTCTCAGGAAGCTTGAACTGGCACCTGCACCCTCATGTTTTCCACGGTGCCAAACAGGTGCATTCAGTGATCATGGGATTTGAGCTAACTGAACACAGTCTTCAGTCTGCCTACTTCAGCTGTGACATTCACGCTAGAGATGGAGTATTCAGATAACTGATGTTGGCATTCATTTCTTTATACATACATTTTACATGGGATACAATTCTGACTGCTGTAACAGGCTGCTCTTTTTGAGTGACCTCGCTCTTTTACAGGTGGAGTGCATGGACATCGATGTTCAGTTATTACCTTGTTTACTCATTTTCCCCCAGGTGACCGTAGAAAGGAAGTAGTCCAAAGCTGCTACAGTCCCCTGCTTCGTCACAGCATCAGAGACGAGGATGGTGTTGTTGAGGTCCAGGTGAAGTATGAGTTTTCTTTGGGGCCGCTCTGCCACTGTCCGCGGAACGGAGAGAGCAAAGCCGCCTTTTTCTGCGTCACCAGCATCCGAGCCGTTGCGTAAATCACCGCTAAGAGCTGCCCCACTCGACATATCCAAATTCTGCATTCTCAGGTCTCTCTCCCTTGACATTTATGTTCTTCAATGTGCCATTGTATGCGGTCCAGTTCAAGAGTCAATCAGAAAAATTGATCAGACCCGCTTGTGAAAATCTCGAATGAAAATACTTTATAAATAATGCATAAATACACTCGGATTCGGGTCGTACAACCTACTGTATATTTAAATTATTTAAAACTAGTGCAGTGCACGTAAATCCCAGTGCGTTTATACTTTAAAAGTCTCAGAAAAGTGCAACTACGGGAGCGTTATCAATATACTAACGCACATTTTACGCATACTATTGTCACTTAGCACTTAATAGAAGTTTTAGTGACTGTAGATCACCTAACAAAAATAACTCGTTTCGCGCTATTAACATTTCGCCCACCGCCACACGTAACATCACTCCGTCCACTGAAGGCAGCGAAAGAGGCTTTTAAGACGGCTTCTTTGGAAAACCGATTGTCTTCTGCTCAGACTGCTCAGAGAGATGCGTTAGGATTACATTTGTAAAATTAGAAATCCAGATGACTTGAAAGTGCAAAAAGTAAATATGTCCTCGCAGACAAAAACCTTATTTGCAACCAAGAACCAGCGGTTTGGATCACAGTAACCATAAGGTGATAAAATTTGGAAGTTATCTTATGTACACTATCAGTCTGTATACCGGTTTTTACTAAATGACTCACGTTACTTCCTCGTTTGAAACAATAAAATAACTTCCTTGTTTCTAGAACAATATGAAAACGACGCAGAGAAAGAGGGTACGACCGACTACTGCAACTCTTTCTTGTACAATTTAGCGCCCTCTCTGGACGAGTGGAGTCTCCGCATGTGCACCGAAAGCGTGAAAGGAGTCTGATGTGCGCGGATTGTGAGTGAAGTGTTTGCAAAAAAAAAAACTCATTGGCCCTGAAGGGCATTACAGGTAGATAATGAGACTAACTAGTCATATAATAATGATTAAAAGTATCAGATATTTTATTCTGAAACACCCTTTTCATCTTTAAAATCTCTCCAAACCATGTAAAAAAAAATTGTGTTGTGGGTGGAGTGGTAAAATGTACATATTAAATTTGAAAAACAAAGAAGAGTGTCACATCTTAAAAGTAATAGAAGATAGAAGAACCGTGCGCCGTAGAATAGCTTTTATGATGGTCTAATTTGCATTTTAAAGGATCAAACAAATACATTGCTCATTTGAAATGACACTAAAATTATTTCACACTTGCATGGTTTGTCACTGGTGCCTCTGATATCAGTGGAAAACAATCTCTTAATAGTCTGAATCTATTTTTTATAATGTTTTGCGTCTCATTTTTAACTCATCCTTCATGAGTTATGAATGAAAAGGCCAAATGATAATTCAGAAGAAAAATAGAAGCTCAAAGTGAATAAGGTTAGGATTAAAAAAAGAGGTTTCGGACTACTGGTAAATTCTGGATGGCACATTTGTAACTGTTTTTTAGGACAATTGTAATCTTTCCATTTTAATGCAATAAATCATTCATTAAGAGCTTTTCTAAGATGACAATTAGTTTTTCCAAATTGTCACACAAAGGAAATTATTTGGCATAAATTAGATCCTACACACAGATTTGGGGTTGAAAAATTGAAAACCAAAATATATCATTATGGCATAAACCAGAGTCTCTTGCTAGGCAAAAATGAAAATTAGTAAGCATTACGTTTTTCTCCGAACAATAAATTTGGTGTGAAGGAAAATTATCTTAGGGTTGTATTAGGAGCTTCTTGGGAGTATAACTGTTGAAGCTTATGCATTATCTTGGCAATAACATGTTTACTGCCTTACCAGAAAACCCATTTTAAAAAGCAAGGAGTAATAATAGGGTTTAAGTTTGTATAAATTATTATAAGGGTGTTTGAAATTTTACTGAGAACAACTTGCAGTATTCAAAACCACTAGTTTTTAAAATAAGAAAACCCTTGTATCTCTTCAGAATAAAACAATAGATTCCAAAGGCCCTGTCTGCCAGGAAACTTTATTTAAAGTTACTTTTAAATCAGAGTTTGTTGTGTATACAAACATATTCTTTTTTTCCCCGGCGACTCAAAAAGAATTTATTTATATTAACGATTTATACTTTTATTCACAGCAGCATTCGTATAATCCCCAACCCCACCTCCCACTTGTATATGCAGTTACAATACAAGAAAACGAGAATAAACAAAATACCAAGACTATCCACTCACAACTGAAAGAACATAGCAATAGAAATCTTTAACTGGAAAAAAAACTGTGATAAATTCCACAACTGGGCTTCTGTGTGTTAACATGCGTGTGTTTTCAAAGTCATAAAAGTGCTCAGTAAAAGAGAATCCACAGGGATTGGCCCAAGAGCTTTACAAAGTGAACATCAGTGCCTGGACAAGGGAAACAATAAAAGTCAAAGCCTGGTTCAAAATATCTCCAACTCTGGGCTATGCTTTAAGGGAGTTTTAAAAAGGAGAAATCTGTGAAATTACATCTCCATCAGCCACATCTTGCCAAGGAAGAACATACAACGTCTTACAATGATCACTTCTTTCTCGCCTAGCAGAAACGTTATCAACAACCATACTACCCCAGCCTCTAATTTGGTTTGTACTATTCAGCACCTTTACTTACTGAACCTGTACATCGCCTGTAACACAGAGGACATTTTAAAAGACACTGCAACAAAAATACCACTCCCAAGGATTTTTTTTTAACTGTGTTCATAGTGAACTGGCACAGCTCTCAGAGAACTGGCACACACATGTAAGGGGAAGAGGGAAGAGTGAAGGTCCAGTACACTTGAAAAACGCACCAGAAGAGGCCAAGTGTCAACTACACATGCTGTAAACATTTTTTTTTTCTCCATTCGATTCCATTTGGTGCCCAGAGCAGGTCCATGGTGCAATCAAGAGAATATTACTGGGATACAAGTCTTATCTTTGTGCCGCTGTATAGTTGTCTGGCAGGATTCAATGGTAGAAAAAGGGGTGTACTGTACATGTGTCAGTCTACCAGTGTGCACATGCTTTCTCATCACCTTTTTTTAGGAACAGTAGGTACCCAATGCTGTTCCTTCAACTCAATTAGTAAGCAATGAGGTTTTAATCCTAGTACTGTGGCTGGATAATCACAGATAGAGTCCAGGGAGGAGATGATTGGTCTAATCCACATCTTTAATGTTGCTGTAAGACGGGGAGGTGCAGTCTCCAGGGTGGGGGAACAGATCTGAGGCCACTTCTGGGGTCAACTGCGGGGGTCCTTCAGTATCCAGGTCTGTCTCGAATAGTGCCTGGCTAGAAGCCTGTAAAATAAATCACACCTTTGATTTTGAGATCTCGCATTTACTAGTTTAACCTAATTTGAAATTCAACTAAAATATTATTATTACAATACTAGAGGGAATAATATTCACAAAAGATAAGCATTTCTGACAAACATAAGAAAAGCAGTGTTATCAGAATGGCAGATTTTGTACATGGCTTATCTCCTCAGGTGGTAGGTTTCTAAGGCTTTTCTGCAAATCTTGCTAATTCAGGAGGGTCTACCTGTAGTCATTAAGGGAAAGAGGCTGCAGTTTTTCACTCAAGCCAAGTCAAATTACTCAATTGAAGCGATTTACTTGATGCCTAAACATGACCTTCACTCATAGCTATTTGACGGCTCATGTTTCAAAGTGGCCTATGAAAACGTTAGATTCTTTCTCTTTAAGAACAGAAGATTACATACTTCCCTAGGCTGGAATGATGTACATAGAGATGAACAGTTTGGCTGCTTTGCAACAGCGCTCCGAATAATCTGAAGTTAAACTGTTCACAAGTAGTAAGGCAGTCAAAAAATCATATGTGAACAGTTTTGTTTTCTATTTATACACAGGATTATAGCAGTAATTATGAAAAAAACTTGAAGAGAAACTGGAATCATGGGCAACTACAAAACGATGGTCCTGTTTAAAATCTAGAATTGGCATTGTCTATTGCACATGCACAGTACACATTTCAAAAGGCGATGTTATTGCATGTGTCCTTATGCCCGAGACCATACACAAAGTATACAAGAAGATTTAAAGCTTCACGGTGCTTGTTAGCACATCTTATTGATGTAGACATGAGTTAATCAACAAACACATTTGTCACCTCCATATCCACAGTTTTCAAAAGATATAGCTAACATATATGCAATAAGAAACATTTAGACAACTGCATAGTTCAAATTTTATTTTAAATAAGACAGTACAAATAACTGAATTCCTAGAGCAGCAGTCAGACTGTATGGAAAAACAACATATTGGTGGGATGGTTTACATTTCATATTATTTCAGTGTTTTCACCAGCTTTTCCCTTTTAAAAGCACAAAGCACAGAACACATCCCATGTTTAGGTGTACATATTTATATTTAAAATTTTAAATGTAATTACATTGTACATTTCATTAAAATATATCTTTAGTGTTAACCTGATTTCAGTTTAATAAACAACAGACTATGTGGGTTAAACAATCTATTAAAAAATTATATTTAATCAAGTTTTTTTTTTTATCTAGAGTTCATTCAACTGCAGGCACAATGTTAAAACATTTAAATATACTAGGTACCATCCTTCATGTTCCTGTAAAAAAATGTCCACTTTAGAATGAGAAAAATATAGTGTGTTACAAAATACATCAGGAGTGGTCTTTAATAGATGAAGGCTACTTAAAGAATCATTTTAAAACATGACATCCCTCAATTTCATTTAATTAGTTGACAGTTTTCATTGACAGTGAATAAAAGTGAACTGCACTAATTCAAAGCAGAAGTCATAAACACCATTACTATACCTGAGATTCATTTGAATACTTTGTTACTATTTGATGTAAACCAGACATTACACACAACATATTCATTTTATTTGTCAACTGGCTGTCTTTTGCACTAATCAAGTTTTTGGAATATTAGTTAGCCCTCAGAGAAAATAGCTCTGTAAACTTTGGTCTCATTTATGTTGATGCACTTTTACCAAGGACATAGGACTGGCCAGAACCTATAACATATACAGTACATGTACCTCAGCACCAACCCAGTGAGAAACAGAAAGGAATCTCCCTTTTTGAAGAAACCAAGCAACTACCACAGTTAAAATTCTGTTACAGTGATTCTAACTATTTTGTTTTTAAAAATCAACTGTATGATCTAGGGCCTCAGAGAAAGACACTGGAATACGTACATTAGATGTTTACTAAGGGTTTGAGCATATATCCTAATGATATTCCCACCATACAGTATATCCTAGACATGAGAAGGATGCAAATTCATCTTCTTAACAAAAACAATGTGCTACCTTAAATTACAAAAAGAAATCAACTGTGCTCCCCTCATCACTTTCATATTATCTAGTCAGATTGAAGTAATCTTTCTGAAACTTTACAATATCATCATAGTTCTCTTTCCACATGCTTGTGTTCCTCACAACAGTATGCAGCGATTTTCTTTGAAAATGCACAGGGCACATATATAGTATTTTAGGTCTCAAAAAAACCCTGCAACACTCCACATTAGAAGTTTCACAAAAACATTAAATGTACAGTATATACACCATTTAAATGACTTGGCTGCCCTTTTATATATTTTTGTATATAGTTTTACTAAAAAGACCCAGATATAAATTTTAAACACATATTAAAACAAAGTAAAATTATTTATCTGACAGGACCATCTCTTTAAGTAGTGTTTGATAAATATTCTTCACAGATATTGACAGGTTATTTAATATGCTAAAAGTCAAATGAACTTCAGAGTTCATGCAATATATATATTATATATAAAATTTAACTATATATATATAAATTGGTTAGAGTGCAAAGGTGTGCCAACATGCAAACTGTGAAGTTAGAAATCGTTGTTTATTATTATTTTTTTCTTTTCAGAGTGGAATTAACCTCTACTTGTTCCTTATACTATACATATGTGCTATTTACCATCACAAAAGGCATGGACACAGTACAGTAGATACAGGATGGTGCACTCTCCTAGTCAAAGACAGAAAACAATGCATACTTCATATTCAGGCACTTTTACAATACTCACTAAAGAGCTGTCTAGGAACCCTTTAAACAGCTCTCAGTTACATTCCCTTTCAAGCACATCACCCTAAGAAAATACATGTAAAATATCTTATTGAAAAGCAGCCACAACTGGGCAGGTGTTAAATTGCAAGGGTCCCTTTATCTCAGTTCAGTTATCTCAGTAGTATACTGTAGTTCTACCAAGGAAAAGTATATGGAGAGATATAAACTCTCAATTTCTCAAACATTTAAAGCAAAAGCTTTTTTAAACAGTATTTCAGGCTTGATGAAAACCCTGAACAGGACTGAGTGTTCCTGTCTTGTGAGTTCAGTCTGAGGTTTGTGAAAGGAGATAGGATAAAGGAACTCTTGAGGGACATTCCACTCTGGGTTTACAGAGGTGCTAATCACCATATTGTACATTAATATTAACTTTTATCTTCCCTAACTCATAAGGACATATGGAACTATACAGTATATACAAAACACTCCTTGTACAAAAGATACACCTGAGTTAAATGCCTCTCTCTGGCAGACTTTACTGTGAAAAGGCATCACAACAACAAAGTCATCTAAAATGATCGTCATAATACGATGAAAACTGTGATTATAGTTTTACAACTGTCATTACTGCAATTAACTGTTATTTATGGTCCCTTGGAAATCAGTTATTAAATTAAATAAAACTAATTAAACAAATCAAAATGGACATACTGTATAGTCTCTAGGAAATCCAACTACAAAACTAAAAACAATTAAAAGCCCTAAAAGAACTGAAGTTCTCAATTAATTTAAGAAAGCCTACCGTTTATGCTTGAAAATACAGACTCATTTCATTGCTATTCCAGATAATGTTCTTTATGGAAATCAGGCCACAGTCTTTGGTGAATCAGAGGCATTTGCGATTATGCTAGCTGCTGTGTTTCATATTGTGAAACCTGAACAGACACACCTGAGATTTAAGTGTCTGGAGTGGAGGACAGAAAAACAGCTCGCATGGAAGACACCTAGGTACTATAATTATTTGAGAGGCCAAGTAGTTCTTGTCATCCCCAGATCCTGGCAATGCACATACCTTGAAGTCATGCCTTGCCACTTGGTGTCTGTACCTCAATGGCAGTATGTACCAAAGCATGAATTCAAACCTACCATCCCCAGACTGTCAGTCTTTCAGAGTTCAGAAACATACTTTCATAAAACCTCTTTCTAAAAACACACAAAAAAGTTTAAATATGGCTTTTCATGAAAGATCAGCACCTGATTTTCTATGCATGTTCAATACTGAACATGATCTAGATGGAAAAGGTTAGTTTGCCCAGGCTCTTGGTTGACTCTACTGACTTCTTCTGCTTTACTTTGTCTAGCTCCAATGACTCTTAGAGATGAGTGGATAAACCACGTTCAGCACTAAGGCCAGCACTGCAGCCAGGGTGCCCAGCACAAAATATTTGACAAAGTTTTCATCTGAGTAATCGGAGAGCTCGTCCAGCTCCCCCCAGCCCCTCCTGGCCTCCTCTCTTCCTCGCAGCCTTCCACCTGTAGATGCAATGGAGTCTTCTTGCCCTTCCTCTTCCTCCTCCAGCTCATGCCATATTAGAGATGCCTGCGATTTTTGGAAACCCGTGTCAGGTTCTGGAAGGTGTGCTTATGAAACTATATTCCTCCCCATCCACCCTTTTCTGTTCATGTACATTTGCTGATCATTTTCACAATGTAATGGAATGCGCAGATGAACCCTTATCCCATCCGTTATCAGAAAGCCACTTAGTGCTTGCAAATATCAAGGCAACTGGGTGCTTACCAAAGGAGCAATAGACAGGACAACACCCTGGACTAGGACTGGACTAGTACATTACAGGGCTGATACACAGAAACAGACAGGTTAGAAACACCAATTACCCTAGACACCATGCCTTTGAACGATGGGAGAAAACCAGAGCACCTTGTGAAAACCACATGAGCACAGGAAGAAGATGCAAACCACACACAAACGTTTCCCAGTCCACAGTTAAAACGCAGGACCAAAGTGCTGTGTTACAGCAGAATTGAGTGTTAGGTTAAATCTTTCACCCATATTGAGAAAATAATTAAAATCATTGTGGTTCTGTAGTTAACAGGACATGAGAGGAAACAGACACATTCAAGAAACAGAAAACATGATTTTAAAAACAAGAATGCAGGCAGTAGGCCTGAGTGAATTTTGCACCAGCTAAAACTACTCTCAAGTTTCTTCTGTCTCTGAAGTCTGAGGCCTTCCAATGAGAAGCATAAGTGCAAGCAGCAGTGAAAGGTTACATTCATCTGCTTCACTAGAAGGACTGCATCACTACTTTTCTTGCTACAAATCTAACTTTTATTCTAGTTGTAAGAATTTCCATACAAGCTTCCCCATGATACAAGAATAGATATGTTTGCAGTGAATATTATTCGTTCCCCTTTTGCAGACTATAGACCTTCCACTTAATAAAAACAGCAAATAATAAAAGGCATTCAACAAAGACAGCACTCTCTCTAAACACAAATTAGCTTGTCAGTTGTAGGTTAACTGTGCAAAATATTTAACATTTTCTGAATTTAAATAAACTATTTTTTAGAACAACTTTTAGAAGATGAGTTTCAGTTGTTAACACAGATGTGCTTGTCAAAAACACAAAACAACA